TTTACATTAACTGTGATAACCGTTGAAAGATACATTGCGATAACGCATGCGCTGGATATCTCTAAGAAAATGACTCTGAAGAAGACTGGCATCGTCATGCTTATTGGCTGGGTTTTTGCTTTGATCTTTGCGACATTACCCTTGTTCCGCGTCAGTGACTACACCAAGTTCAGTGTTTGTCTTCCGTTTGAAACTGGGGATTTAAAATCGCTGGCCTATGTGATGTCATTACTGATAATCAATGGAACAGCATTTCTAGTCATACTGACGTGTTACGTGAAAATTTATGTCACAATTCGTGGGTCAAATGCGTGGAATACAAATGATTTTAAAACGGCTCAAAAAATGGCTCTTCTCATCTTTACAGACTTTGCCTGCTGGGCGCCCATAACTTTCCTATCCATTGCGGCTGCTTTCGGTGGAGAGTTTGTTAGTCTCAAGTGGGCTAAAATATTAACAGTTTGTGTTTTTCCTCTAAACAGTTGTGCGAACCCCTTTTTGTATGCTATTTCCACTGCACAGTTTAAGAGAGACTGCATGTCCTTTTGTCGAAGGGTGAAGACTTCGCAGATTCCAAAACTAACGAGCTCGAGGAGAAAATTTTCCATTTCAAGTGCAGAAATGCGGCGAAATTCCCAAGTGAGCTCATCTAATGGACTTGAGGGGATGATTGCGAAACTTCGAGCGGGTGGAAGGCGAAACTCTCTTCCCGCTTCAATGAAGTTAATGGTTCTGCAACCTGAAACAAGCAAATCATTGGAATTCCCTCAAAAAGACAAACAAGTTATTGTGGAGAGAGTAACAGCTCTTTAACAATTATTATAAAAACAGAACTCGGTTGTCTTACCTTATAAATTTAACACAGTCAAATCAGCGACACTCAGGTCGTTAACAACGAACTTATATCGCATAATAACAGATTGCTTGGTCAGTATGAGGTTAGTGAAAGCCGTTTTCTTAGGGAATTCGAGTCCGTTTCTAGGTGAGGAACTTAGCATGGCCTGCAATCAAAATTCAGGAGACAGATTTATAACTTGAAATTTGTAAAGGGGATAAATTAATTGCATGGTCTCTTTTACAACCTGTATTTGTCGTTTTCTTAGAAATCTGAGAGCCAGGAAAGGGTTTTTTATTTAAAAGAAAAAGAAGTTGTTTGCAAATAGTTTCAATGAGCCATTTCCGAGTTCCAAAAACTCTCACTTTCAAAATGATGTAAAGTACAAAACCTTTCTTGTGAAAATGAGTTTTATTTGCGTTAGAATAAAAAATCAATGGATTTGCACTTAGCCTCGCTTTGACAGAGAGGCTTGGGGCAACCCGGGAATGGCCTATTAACCCTTTAAGTTCCAATAGTGATCAACATCAATTTTCTCCTAAGGATATCCATGGATTGTTAAGACAGATGGTTATGAGAATTAACAAAATGATCAGCAAAGAGAAAATGCCTGGATCTTTTATCAAATTCTTTCAACTAATTCTTAAAGGAAATGTATGGAGATCAGTTTGGAGAATTTGTATGTGGATATTGGGGCTTAAAGGGTTGAAAATACACTGTTATTGCCAGTAAAAGACTTTCCTTAGAGAAAGGTTTAACGAATATCCGATAACAATGTTGTGAATGAATGAATAGATAAGAGAGCGACCTTAGAAAAGGGTGGACTTCCCTAGCTAGGCTATCAACTTTGCTTTATTTGACTGATAAACTATGTTAAAGCGCAGTCGAAAGAATTTTCCACTTTTTAAGTACCCGTTAGTGTACGTCAAAGTTGTGTTGAAGAAACCCTTGTTGGTTAGTTATTGTCTTCAGTGTGGTTTTGGTATTATTCTGTGTCTTTTCAATGAATTTTGTAAATTAATCGCTGTATTTATGCCACTGTATTCCAGGGATCACTTACTGTTTCTTGTTAAGGAACCTTATTTACAATGGGAAGTTTATTCGGGTGAACGTTTGGTCCGGCTGGCCGGTTATAATGATGACCGAAGCATTGCAACACAAGCGACAGTGACTAGTGTTCACGGTTCTCTTCCTCAGATCTTTGCTTGTGAAAGCTTGTAAATAGATCATTACGTTTATAAATAGCTATTTACGCAGTATTTTGCAACATTTTGTAATTATGAGTGTATATACCTAATAAAAACAAATAAAGGAGTTTTAACTGTGGCTGATTTGCTTAGCCTCCGGGTCCCGTTTAGTTTTTTTGGTTAATTTTTATAGAGCGCGCGAGGGGAAAGCGCGAAAGGGAGAGAAGTCTCTTCGCTCCTTTTTCCCCTCGTGCGCGCGAGTCCTTGTAATTTCTCCCTTTGCCCTAAAAAAAGAAACGGCTCCTGCCAGCAGTCTAGTTTGCCTAAGAAACGCAGATTTTTAAATGTTGTTTTCTTCCCAAAGTAGTGAAATTCCCTCGCCCCGCTACAAAATGACGCAAATGAACCTACCGCATAACACAAGCACAAGCACAAGTAAAATATGCAGACGTGATAGCGTGACCATCCTCAGTCCCAGGATGAAATCCAGTCAAACCTGTATTAAGCAGTATCCCGCTATCAACCGGTTACTTCCCATAGTTCTGGAATCATTTTCCGTAGTTACGTAGAAGTCAATCGGATGTGAGGGTCACCTTTCCCAAGGCCCCGACAGTCTTGGGCCCCATCGAAGCAGTCTCGTTCTCAGGGCCTCTCTCCTTAACCTCCTGGATCGAGAGTTAAGATCGAGAGCAGGGGAGAACCGGAAACAGAGAGACTCTGGAAACGAGGTTGTCATCAAAGTATCTGCCAGCTTAAGTAAAGACGTCTTGCAGCGAGGCACGTCAACCGGAAGTGAACTTTTTGCATTCTTGGACAGTGGTTTTACCGACATTTTCGCGCTTTTTGTCCCTATAAGAGTGAAGACACTTAGCAATACAAATTTGGAAACGTCAATGTACATTAAAGGAAAAAGGCCTTCTTCAACATGCATCGCTCGAAAACGTGTTAGTGAGAAGAGGACAACAAAACGTTTGTATGTGACAAACGTGACATGGCTATTACTTGCGTGTTTTGTCGTGATCTTAAATTACATTACTATGTTCTGGTCTTTTACAAAAAGATCCTTTTAATTAAAGGAAGGTGAAGTTTGGCAGAAAGTTTTTTTAAACTCGGTCATTGTCAAGCTTGTCACAGGTGCCTTTCCGTCTTCTCTCCCTCCCGTCCAGTAGCGTAACTTTACTATTGTTCATTTTCTTCACCTCTATAATGTTTTAGCTCTGCGCTCACTTTGACTCACTCAGGGTGTGTTCCTTTCGGCGAATCCAAAAACGGATTTTTGATCCTAGATTTGCCAGATTTCGCGGTCAAAAGGAACGTGAAATCCGAAATTGGATTTGTAACCTTGGTAACCTTTCGCCAACGCGTGCAATATGCACGACAGCCTCTCAAAAAACGACGTGTTTTCTACTGTTTGACAAATTATGCGATTATACC